TAACATTTTGAGGAAAAAAAAAAAATCCTGGAGAAGACTTAAGTAAATGCTGCTTTCAAACAGGCACATGCAAGAAGCCAATAATTTCAAAGTTTGTGAAATAATCTAAGCTACTTCTGTGTTTTACTTCCACGTCTCTATCCAGGCACACAAACTTTTAAATCTCTCACTGCTCAAACATCATTACCTTAGAAGCAGCCAAAACACATACAACCAAAGTAGCAAAGGCACAAAACATCACTTCAAATGGTCACAAACACGAATGCAGATGTGACATCATAGTTCTTATACTTCTTATGGTCAAGTTCTTTTGGTCAAGTTTTTACAGCCAGTCATTCTTTGAACTATTTAATCTACACAAAATGCCCCAACTGCCAATTCCAATACGTGAAATTGCACATTACCCTTGGAAAAATAGGTTTATCAGACTCTCTTATCAGTTGCCACAACCTCACCCACTCCTCTTATGAAACAAAAGGCAGCAGGCTACTTGTTGTCCAGTATAACATAAATACACAGAATTAAAATACAAACTTCGAGCAGAAAAGCAAAAAAGGCACTTTTCTGATAAAAACACAGTTATTGATCTTCACTGTGAAGCAACATTTTATCCTCCAGGTCATCATCATAATGCAGCATGCCATCTACCCATTCAAAGAAATTCACAGAAAAGACAGACACTCAACACTTTTGTATGGACCCAAAGTAAAATCCACCAAATGTTAATGTACTGCCGCTCAAACACAACTCTTAATGCTAAACATGATTTAGCTAATAGCATAGCAAGTGACAGTTGCTCAAGAGCAGTGTGTAGTCTCTGCAAATGAAAACTGTTGTTGAGGGCCAACCCAGTTAAGTGAGCTAAGGAACATTCCTTTACCAATACTATTCACAGCAACAAATAAAGTCACAGATCATCCACACTGAACACTGAGCAAAGAACACAGCATCACTGAAGACTGACTTGCTTATTGGGAAGAAGGTTGTAGAGCTGATACTAGAATCCAGATTTTTACCATAGCACCTCAGAGCAGTCAGATCAACCTATCTTGCTCCTCACACAAAAAAACCCCCACTGTGTGCTTCTACTCTCGTCTTGAGAGTTGTCAGAGGATGGTTGTTTTAGAGCCCTCAGCCACAAGGGGTTCTCTTCTTTAATGCATGCATTATTCATGCACTCAAGCTGGCAATGGTTTATCTAATAAGCACCTAGACACATGCACTAAAGAGAAAGGTATTTTGCAAATTTGGTTCTCCGTGACTCTCTCTTTACCAGCAGGACAGTATCTTATGTGCCCAAATTCCTGAAGGAAGTCTGGTTACTTGAAACAAATCATCAACTCATTCTAATAATCAAGAGTTATTAACTACCTACTTCTGCAACTATACAGACAAGTACATTCAGAGAAGGTATCATCAACATTAGTGTCACAAAGCCAGAGTAGCAAGAAATGGCTTCTAATATGGCTAGAACTGAAGAAGTGGTTATGACTAAGTTGCAACATGTCACTCTCTCCCTGACTTAACTTGAAAAAGAAAAGTTTCCTAGCAGACCTGCTCTTACCTTTATCACTTAGTTACTCCTCAGCGTGCAAAGTCTGATGTCACTTCTGCTGTCACCCAAAAATCCAGGCTTCCCCTTCCTCTTCTTCATTCTCTTTACCTTCAGGAATTTATGTCTTTCAAGTGTTCAAATTGCTCAGCCCACCTCCCATCAAAGGCACTGTGCGCTTTCCCCCTCTCTGAGAACAACTTTCTCCTTTTTCCCCCCTCTCCTTTTACAAGCTTGCAGTGCTCCAGACACATCTGCAGAGACAAGGATTTTTCATTCTCACCCACTGCTGACAGAGGTCCTGCTGCTCTACTGCTCTTACACCTGAGCAGGACTCCAGCCACCACCCACCAGGTTCCCGAGCTCTCCCCTCACAGCAACACGTACACAGCTGCCCTGACCGCTGCTTAGTCACTGGCCTTCAGATTAGAGCCATTTAGATGGAACTTTGTCCCCCATACGCAAAATTTCAGTACCATGGAGTTCAACCAATGTTTACCATTAATAAATTAAATACCGCACTCCTACCACAGTTATTTCCTACTTCAAAAATTCAAGGAAGCCTGTGGTATCTTGAACACCACTGCACAGGAACGCTTTAATTTTTTTGTAATGCCACTGTACAAGTTCTGACACAGTTTATGTTTCTGCCTTTCTGAATACACATTGAAGAAGCTATTGCAAGATCTAATGCAACCATATTGAACTCCTTCTCTCAGAGGGGTTAAAAAATTAGAGATCTGGGAGAAAGAAGAATACAGTCCAAACCAAATCTCAAGAAATCACACAATAACTGCTCTACAGTACTTAATACACCAGGATGTCTTGTATATATGAGATAACAAAAAAGAAACAAAACATGTAAGCTCATTATTTTAATACCACACTTAAAGATAACAGCTGGAAGCAAGAAATCAGTAAGACATACCGTAACTGGTATGCTTGTTTCCGGCAAAGATCAACTGAGAACTATTCCGATCATATTAGCTTCAACTATACTGAATACAGGCAGGCTGATATAAGATCTAAGTGTTAAATAGCCTCTCCTTACTATAATCAGTCATTTAATTTTCCAGTTGTCTTCTATGAACTGGTGACAGGTCATTTTCACTTCTCCTACAGAGCTTGCAGCTGAAGAAATACAGCAGATTCTTTACTAAATCATAAACTATCATGTCTCTTAAAAATGGCATATTGCCATTCATAGTCTAAAGAAAAAAAAAGAAGAAAAAAATCAACTTCAGCCAGGAATTCAGGGGTTTATAACCTTTCAAAAGTACATAAAGGCAAACAACCTGACAATACTGAACAGCAGTCCACACTGAGGCATAACTAAAATAGTAGTTATTTCTGTTAATCAGCTTGTACAAACATTTGTTTCTATCCAGAAGTTCCGCCTGCCCCCCCGCTTTTCTTTTTTTAAATAATACTATGTAGAGAACTGGCTCCATCTTTCTATCTTCCATTCTCCTGAAAGGAATTTCATTTTACAGGTTATCAAACAAACAGCTTCCACTTAGACTGGTCCAGTTGTCTCTATTTAGCTGTCACTGTAACAAACCCACTCATGTGGGCCCATCAGACTGATGCTGGTTCGGGCATTCCACACAGGAGCAATCCCAAGTGCCACTGAGGACTCAGCCAGCACTTGGCAAGCAGCTCTCTGTCAGCAATGCTGGCTTCAGCAGTCTTCCCCAGCACTCACTCATTCCTATGCCCTCTGTTGTGACGGTACAGCTGTTTGTGCAGCCACGCAGTGAACCAGACTGGGAAATGATCCAGATTAACAATAACCTAGTAAAGAATTTTTACATGCCAGCCAGGTCCTTAATCCAGTAAACTCAATTTTGGCCACCTCACAAGGCACATAGCCTTTGCTGGTCTGCGAGCAACAGCAGTATTACAGAGTGCATAGGACATAATCATACTTTGTTCTTCCTAGCAATCGTAATTTTTAATTCACATTGAGGATATCAACATGTCATCAATACACAATATCCCCTGGCATAACACAGAAAAAACACCTGCAGGTTCATTCCAGTCTGAGTAAGTCTGACAGAATGAAGTTACTCTTTTTTGGGAACACTCTTGATCAACTCCATTAACAACTTCTGATCTTACAGTGTTCCATTGTAGACAGACTGCCACGACTAATTTGGAAGTGCAACCTTATTTTCCAGAATAGAATAGACTTTCTACATTACTCCTTTATTTTTCTCATGTCATTAATAAAAAGCTTTGACAGAAAAGCCAAAATCTTAGCACGCCGCCGCCGCCCCCCTCCCCCCAAAAACAAACACCAAAACAAACCCCAACATATTCTTGCTTCTTGTAGCATAAGAAAGGTCTCTGGTAAGGTCAACTACCAGTACTCCAACTTTGACACAAAGTAAATATTGTTGGCAAATATGGTTGGCAACCATCACACACCATCAAACGCCTGTTATGAAGTAGCCCTACTCTAAGTTAGCCTCTTTAAAATTGGTGAATATGAACATACAAAAACATACAGGTATCTTTCAGTCTGTTACAAAACCTCCTGAACAGTTACCATGAGGTAGCATGCTGAGTAAAAAGAAATAATTATTTTTATAAAACTTCTTTTAATTATCAAAGTGCAGGGAGAGCTCTTTTGAGGACCACAACAGTCCCAGTTCTGAAATTATTACATCATTAACTCACATGAGTAACCTATTTGAGATAAGTGCAATTCCCTGTACATTAAAACCTCAACATAAGCCAGCATTTATATTTGAAGCCCACCATTGTGGCTTTCTAGGGTATTTTAGGAGCACTTCATACATTACAGAGGGGACAGAACAACCGACCTGCAAAATCCTGAAGTACTGGTTACAGCCTTTCACACATAGCACAACTAAGCTGTGGTGTCAGAAAGTAAGGTCCTGTGTCTTCCAGACACAAAACATTCCTCCTATTCCTTTTTGCAATATTCCTTTTCCATTTACGGCCTTGGCATACAAAGAGAAGTTAAAATCCTCATTCTTTTAGTATTTTTTTTGTTTGCTTAATTTTGGTTTGCTAAATAAAATAAGACTAAGCGTCTCAATTTCTATTGCATATGTTTGATAATAGTTACTTGAGTGCCTTTTTTAGAACTGCAAGTATGTCTAATTCTAGTTAGAAAAGCATATATTATCAACATAAAGCTGTTTATGCTTTTATTTAGTCCTGATATCCATATGCTGCAAGACAAAGGTCTCAACCTCACCACAGAACATCTAGTGATCTAAAAAAAAAAAAAAAAAAAAAAATCTGTGGTTTGAACTGAACACCTCATTCATTATGTGGTTAGTTCTATGTACAAATAAATAACCTTTTTAAAAGGTTATCAGCTGTCTAGGCATTAGCTAGGAGTGCATTTAGTATTAAAATCTTATGCCTTTGAAGAACCATCGCATGTTCTAATACACTCACTTTCTGTATATACCCAACTTGTCAAAAGCTTCACAGGTAATCTCTTTTCATCCATTCTGGTTTAAAAGGGAAAATAAAGTCTTCTCCCATCAATTGCAGTTATCTGTAGACAGCAACCTTTTCAAGTGTTTCATAGTAGCGTCTAACTCTGATTTAGCAGCAGGGTATTTTTCAGTGAAAGCAGAATATACTTCTTTCCAGCAGAGAAGCAAGAGTATACTGGAGTCAGCCATATCACATGAACTGAATTGTTAATGTATGAAGGATATCGCTGCACATCAGCGCCCAGCACCTGTTTGGGGCAAAATCTGCTCCCACACAGAGCTGGTGCAAACCCCATTCTACCTCAAGCAAGTGCTACTTGAGGACACAGCGTAGTTTTGTGTATGGGTGGAGAGATTAATATCCAGTTTCTCTCTGAAGAGATTATATAAAAAAATACGAGATGTTTTATAGCAGTCCAAATCAGTCCTCTTTCTTGCAATAACAAGGACAAGATTGAACAATTCTAACACACCCTTTGGAATACTATGACATAAGCCTGATAAGGTACCAAACTGAAACTACAGATTGCATTGAAAGACACTTACCTAAAGTCATGATCAATAAACACGCTCCTCTAAGTAAGGCCACTGTTTTGATACTATTTCAAAAAACATGCAAAACAGTACCTGGATAAATACATATACTTTGTAAAGGACACTGGTTTATTGAACTTGATTAATTGGAATACTGCTGTTAAATAAAAATGAAACCTGAGAAAAACAGAAATAAAACTCCAGAATGGAGACACTGCTGTTGGCATAACAAAATGGGAATGTGAAGGTACACAGCCTGAACAAGTTCAATAATTAGACAGTTCTCAGGAATAAGCAGCAATGTTTCTGACAGGGATGACTCCACCCTAAAGTGCCTCTTTTAAAATAATCTGATTAACCATTTAAGTTCCAATATGGGTCACTACCAGAAACGACGAAGGACAGACTTGGACAAAGTTCGCATGTCACTTTATGAAACGGAAGAGCTATCAAGTAAAATATATCTTGCTTTAACTTCAAGCATTACTCAGTATCACAGGTAGACTATTCCTAGGATGCTACAGCAAATGCTTAACTTTGACAATTCTACAAAGTCATACTGCAGACAATCAGAAAATCATCTCAGTAAGAAATTCCAGGGCAGACTTCTAATCAAACTGTGGAATTTAGTCTAGGAGACTTTAGTCTAGGAGCCGTGGAGATCCATGCAGTTCCTAAGCAGACATTCTCCTTCACCTCTCCAGGAGAATGTTTCCTCTTTTCTCTGCCTTGACTGAAGAAAAGAAAGAGATCCAGTATGAAGATCAGAGCAACTTAGTTATCAGGTCTCTTTTCAGACTTAGTGCAGAAGCTACTGGAAGCTTCCTTCCCTACCAGATTTTTCTCCATCCAGTAACTTCAGCATCTGTACGCACTGCTAGACAGCTTTCATTTTAGGTAAAATATTGAGGTACCCAAACAGAACCACAATGAAAAAAGTGATTATTGAGCTTTGTGCTTACTCTTCCCCTTTACAGGATTCTTCAGCGTCCAGATGCACAATCTACAGTAAGCTTTTGTTGATCAGTATTGTAGGGGTTAAACTGGTTAGAAGAAGCAAACAGCTAAAGTTACATATTTGCACTACAAATCCAGAGCACTAAGATAGCAGCTTATGATGTAGAGGGTGAGTGTCCCCAAGAAAACGTATTTACCAACAACTTTATAGCCTTACCAGCTTTTGCATGCTACTACCGCCATTCGAAGTTCTAGTTTCCACAGTACCTGCAGATCCACTGAAGCACAGTAAACAAGAGTTATACTTTTCTAGTTTATAGTACCTACAGAAAAAAAACTGGAGGCAATTACGAGTCAGAGCCAAGAGACTCAATTCGGGGAGGAGGTGGGAAGAAATCACTTTTGTCACACTTAAGAGTTCTAACACTTGTGTCAAAAAACTAGGACAGAAGTCCAGAGGTCAGCTTTCTCTTTTTGGCTGTGTCATCTGCTGCCCACTTGTTTCAGGAAAAGCCACCTCTGTATCTCAGGTTGCCCTCTCCCATTTATTTTTAACAGGTGGGGAAAATAGCCACCTATCTCAAAGAGCCAAATACTACTCAACATTGGAAAGCACCAAGCTGCTCACAGACAACTGAAACAGAAATGTTAAGAAGCTCAGACACAGCCTTTTTTTCAAAGCAGAAGTCTCAGCTCTAAGGTTTGAAACAGCTCTTTTCCTGTTCTTTTTGCAAGTTCATATGCCACAATTCTAATAGCATGCAAAAGACTTCTTAACCTTTAGGGCAAATGACTGTAACAGCAGATTGCAGACACTGTTTCCTCAATAATACATAAAAACGCCAAAAGTGACCTAAGCCTGTTTCGTGCTTGCTCAGACACACCTCAACCAAAGGCCTACAAGTAAGTGGGCACATTTCTTTGCAAGTTCAGAAAGAATTACTATCAAAAGTAGCTATGACAAAAGCAGCCTCAGAAGTAGATATACACCACAGCACAAATCCAGAGCTCTTCAGGCCTTACTACCAGCTTCCCTGTTAGCTGTCACTTGACAATGAAGAAATAACTCACCAAATTCAACTGGCAACTGAGGGTGCACAATCATCAGACCTTTTATTTTAGTCTTTAGAGAGAGACTTATAGAATAGATCATGTTGTGTGCAAAGAAATAGCTAGACTTCTCAGCAATGAAATACTCTACTGAATAAAAAAATATTTAAAGGAAGTCACACAATCCATCATCTGATAGGTCATGTCTAAAAAGAAGAACACCAAACCATCTTGCTTATTTTATCATAGAAAATATCTTATGTCTTAAAAGTATATACAAGTGTCCGAAAAAACAAACACCTGTCCCATGACCACAAATCTGACTTCTCATGACAATTAACTGTGAAACCTGAAAGATGCTCTTAACAAGTCTCATTTAATTTAATAAAGTTACTTTAAGGCAAGTAAGGATCCGATCAAGATGATTAGATTTGCGTGGTTTGCATGCACGTTTTCATCCTTCAGTACCCAAATATTTACACTTATGCACATGTTTCTACCTCCACACTATCTGTTTGAAACTTTCATCCTTTTATAGGCAAAAGGCAAAAAAGCTCTAGAACTTATCTTCCTCACACCCAAACGTCCTAACCCTATTTTCACCCAGTCAAAATTTTTCAATTCTCTACTCTTAAGCTGAATCTTGATAAGGCATTTAAATTCATTTATAACTACAGCCAGTCCAACAGAAATGAACCTCCAGCACTTTCCTGTACATGAGTCACAGATGCCAATATATTCAAATCCTTTGGCAAGTTTAGGCCCCAAACTTTTAAAAACTGAGAGGATTTTTACCATGGCACACAACACTGAACATTTTATTCTGCTTCCCTCCCACTCATTTAAAACAAACCAACCCCAACAAATTGGGGGGG